TAAATTACTGATAATAACTGGTAAAATCACAGAAAGAAAAATCTTACTTTACACATTAAATGCAAAAAAAACTGTCCATTAAATTACACATTTTTACTGTTATTGTTTTCCAGATATTTGCTGTCATTTGACAGAAAAAAAATATGAATATTAAAGCTTGACAAATGCAGTGATTTTCACTGGAGAAGGTCAAACTGCAGTGGGACAGGCAGCTGCTTCACACTCTGTCCAGGACTTATTCATGGAAATCAGAGTTTCTGTGACATTTCAGAATATTCAACTCTATGGATGACATTCCTCACTTGTTCTACAACACAAAACTGCAAGATGAAACTTTGCTAAAGGACATGAAAAGAGTCGTGTGAATCCTGGAAACATGTTCTTTGGTCAGATGAGACCTGGACTAATCTGTTCGGCTCAGACGGGGTCCACCATGTTTGTTGTGAACCTGAACAAGAGCACCACAGTGAACACATGGTCCTGACAGTGAAGCGTGGAGGTGGGAGTGTGATGATACGGGGCTGCATGAGTGTCAAAGGTGTTGAGGAGACGACATTTATAGATAAATATCTGTGGATAAAACAAATTATGACTCTTATTCTGCAGAAGCTAAGCAGAAGAGGAATATTCCAGCATGATAATGATGCAGAACAAACTGCTGGGATCACACGGGAGTTCTAAAAGCAGAAAAAAGTAAAAGTGGACGTGACCAAGTGTGCCGTCCCCTCACTTATACATTCCAATAAGTTTTTCATGGAGTGGCTCGGAGCGTTCTTTTGTCTTCATGGTGTGGTTATAGTCACTGATTAACCAGTGACTGGACCGTCCAGATACAAGTGTCTCTATAATCACTTGAAGCACATTCGCTGCTCTCAGATAATCTCCATTTGACTAACTGTGAGACTTTCAGCACCAGTTGGCTGCATTTGGGTCGAATTAGTCGAGTCCCTTTAAATGGGGGTGAATACTTCAGTAATCAGCTGTTTCACGTGTTATATTTTAGTTAATTTACATTACTTTGTAGAAATGGGTTTCCACTTTGACATGGAATGGCCAACTCAAGTCGTCCATGATTCAATGTTGAGACGTAATAAAAGGGGAAACAAGCTGCTAAGAGAGGATGAAAATTGTTTTTATAGGCCCTGTATGAAGAGCATTAGTAGGATGCACTCTAACCTATGGATAGCCATGTCCATAAACAGTAGATTATTGGTTTGGGATGCACAGTGTGGTCAAGACAGGACCCTTGACTTTCCTCAGTCTGTCACATGCTACAGGAAGATATAAATCAGAGGCGCTGAAAAATGACAAACTTACAAGATCTATGAGCGCCATCACCTAAACACTTATGCAGTTATTTTTCATTTGTACAACACATGAATAAACTGGAACATTTAAACTTGTTAATGATAATAAATGAAGAGTAAAAACAGATAACTCCATCTGTACAAACCTTCAGAAAACCCACTTTTCCATCGTCTACCTGAGACAACAGCAATCAAACTTAAGTTATCTCTGTTTTTGTCATTTCCACAGAGTCAGATCCACTCAGCTTCAGTTTGACTGATGTTTTGTCAAGCAAACAACAAAATCTACAAAAATGGAGTTATCTGTTTTTGCAAATGAACTCTTCAAATGTTCAGGTACATGTCAGCAAACTGTTTCTCCCAGCCAAGTTATGGGTTTATTAACAACTAAAAATAAAAAGTCCTTGGTTTCCATTGTTTTATGAGACTATGTCATTAGAATTGTAATTAAAAAATAAATCTGTAAATCTGAATAGTAGCTTTTCACAGTAAACTACTAAGTACCTGAAAATCAAGACCAGTGGTTCTCAAACTGGGGCTCGGGACCCCCATGGTTGTCCCAAGATAATTTCAGCTGGTCGCCAGATCATTGTAAAAATAAAATAAAAATAAAGCCTACATTTATCAAATAAATGTGTATTAATGCTGTCAAAATGAAAAGTGTATACTTGTTCACACTCCTTATTCGAACTTTTTATTATTATGATTTGATTATGCGATATTTTTATTCTTTTTTGCTCTTTTTTAAAGTATTTTCTTTGTTTTTATATATTTTTTCCCTTTCATTTGTTTGAAATAAATTCAACTCATTCATTCATTTAAAAGAAAATTAATGTGTTCATGTAAAAAGATTAATCTATGGAATTAACACACTAATGTTTAACACATTAATGCATGAACAACAACGTTATTACTCATGATATATTAAAAAATTCTAACTGGAGGGTCATGAACACAAACGGATGTTATCTTGGGGGTCGTGGCCCAAAAAGTTTGAGAACCACTGATGTAGAAGTTGGTTAGAAGTTACTGGAAGAATCCATTTATCTTTAATCCAATTTTTTCTTGAGGCTACAGGAAGCAAAGAACCTGGAAATCTAAATGTTGGTAAAAGGTTTTTTGTCAGTGTTTCTTTGAAGCCAAGGAGCTCCCTGCCACCTTCCACTGAGGCTTAGACCTCAGAATCCACCACATGCAGCAAAATTACTTCTATCCTCTGAAACGCAGCGTTAACAGCTCATTTATGCAATTATTTATTCACTTAAATGTTACAGAAATAAACAGGAAACTTTAAACTTGTTCAACCACACGACAACAAATCATTCGTTCCAGCCAAGTTATATGTTTATTCTGGGCTCCAAATAAAAGGGGGTTTCCAGCTTCCATACATATTGTTAGCAGAAATTAAACCTAAAATAAATCAGAAAATCTAATTTCCAAAAACAGCTCGAAACAACAAACCACAGTCCTGCTGACGCCCTCGTCTGTTTTGGGTTTTTCCCCCATTTTTTTTATTATTACATAAATAAACTGGAAAATTTAAACTTGTTTATTATGACAAAAGTTTAAGCTTGTGTCACTCAATCATGTTTCTCAGCCAACTTATTGGTTTATTCTGAGCTCCCAAACAGGTTTCTGGCTTCTGTTGTTTTACACCAATTATTACTGTTAACCAAATTAAAAATACATTTTAAAAAAATCTAATTTTGGCGAACATTTCTCCCTGTTTCCATTTGAGGAAGCAAACTACCTGAAAATATAAAAGTTAGTACAAAGTTCCTGAAAAAAATGAATTTACCTGAAACGGATCGATCCAGTAACTTGTCAAAAGCATTTATTGGTCATTTGTTGACATTATTGTTGACAGTTTTTATGTTTGCATGCGTTTAATTTCCATTTTTTGGCATCCTGGCCACCTTACACTGAACACAACATCAACAAATCATAAAATATCATCCCAACAAATAAGTTTTTTAAAGAGCGACTTACTTTCTCAATTTTTCCCACGACCTTTCGAGGCTGTATCTGCTCTTTAAAAGCCCCTGTGCAATATTACTTTTTCTACATACACTAGAATATATATTATTTCGTTAGTTCTCTACTTCTGTACAATCTGTGAAATAATAATAATACTCTATCAGTGTTTCTATTCAGCAAAAAAAATCTGTGCAATGCCACTGGTACATGTGATAATTACTGTTATAGAAGTTATTTTTAGAAGTAGTACTTGTGTATATGTTGGTTTATTTTTTATACGTTCCTTAAATGTTTGCCCTATCTTTGCTGCTGTAACACTTCAAATTTCCGCCCTGTGGGACCAATGGAGGGTTATTTTATTTGATCTTATGAGAAGAAAAGTAGCTGAAAATGAAAAAGTTGGTAAGAAGTTACTGAAAACCAGTTGTTCCAGTGACCATCTGAAGTTAAATCAGCTTATTTGTCCAGTTTTAAAAGCTTTAACGTTTCGATGACAGTTTGTTCTCTTTACCATAAAAGATTTGTGTTGTTCATTTCTGTCTTTTGGCATCTCTTCCACCTTAATATGTCCATTAGATAGATATAACATGATCTCTTATACATTTATGTAATTACCTGTTCATTCACACAACACAGTTTAAAAAGAAACTAGCAGGGTTAACCTTGCTCACCAAGATAAAGTTACTGGTTTATTCTGGTCACACAAACAAGTTTCTGGCTTCCACACATCTTTATTAGAACTAGAATTTAAAATAAATCTGAAGATTGAATCTAATCTACCAAACCACAGTCCCACTGATGCCTCAGTTTGTTATGAGTTTTTTTTTCCTCCCCCATTTCCCCCCCCATTGTCTAAATAAGCTTTAAAATTTAAACTTGTCCATAAATGTTCAGGCACATGTCACCAAACCATTTTTCCCAGCCAAGTCATGTTTTTTTGTTTTTTCTGGGCTACCAAACAGGCCCCTGGCTTCCGTTGTTTTCATCAAACTGGATTTTTAGATAAATCACACGATTAATTTCCGACAAACAGTTTAAAACAGTGAACCAGATTCCAACTGACGCCCTTGTGAGTGTGTTTTTTTTATTTCCCATCCCCAAACGAGAACTCACAGAGCGTCACACGGGCACGGCGGGGTCAGTGACCGCGCACGCCGCCTGTTTATCTGTATGAGAGGTCCTCGGGAGCGCGCCCCCCCTGGCCGAGGAAGGTGAGCGAGTGTCTGGAGGGGAGGACTCGGGAGCGCGACCAGCCGAGGGATCGATCGGATTAAACTCGATTTGAGTGAAATTAACACAAAGGAGAGAAGAGCAACGCACACTAGTCGGCGAGGTCGCGGATGCGAGACACGCCGGAGAAATATTTCATGAAAAACAAAAAAAACTTGAACTTTTTTCATCTGTTTATTTATATTTCTAACTGAAAAGGACCACGGTGGATTTTTTTTTCAAGCAAGCGGAGATACTAACCCTACTAACGAGGAGTTGATTTGATAAAAAGCCCGAAGTGACCGAGCTTGCTGGGTAAGCTAACAAATGCCCCCTTTTTCAATGAGTGCATTTAATTTTTTTTCGAGTAGATTTCAGCACGAGTGTGATGGTTTCGTAGTAGCCACCGGCTCTGAATTAAAAGCCGTTTATATTCTCTGTGAATAGTAAGTTTTCCATACTTTTTCAACGCGATCGGACTCTTTAATCCACCGTGCGAGTTGTGGTTTCCAACCCGACGGACGTTTCCCTTAAGGCTAACTCACGGGAAAGGTTAATTTAGGGACAACTGGCTTATTAAGCGTCTGTTTTATTTTCCAATTTCAGCAGAAAGTCATTGAAGGTCTATGTAGCTGCCATGCCGACATGCTAACAATAGCAAGTTTAGCTTTGCCACCCGCTGCATCGCTCACACACACAGTCGCACCACAGTCCCATTAGTTAGTTGAAAAGTGGAAAGAAAAATTCCCAGAACAGCACGGAGAGCTCCTGGGCTTCCCAATCTGATTCCCTGACAACTTGTTGGATTTTGTAATGGGGAATATTGAGTTAATTCAGTTTTAAAGTGTGACTGTTAGCCCTGTTAGCTAATTGTGTTGAAGCTTCTAGGAGACACGAGGTGGCTCGAGCGTAGAGGTGAGTCACTAGCCGACTGAATGAGCGGAGCTCTGAGGGAGATTCCCAGCGGAGAATACTTGGCAGATATCGCCAAAAACGCACCGCATGAGTTGAATCGAAATGTTTTTACACGAAAGCATCAATATTGTGTAGATTTCCCCTGAATACTCGCGTCTTTATCGGTGAGGGACAGTGTGAAGTGAGTGTAGTAGTCGCTAGTTTTATTGAACGGAAGGGACAGAGCAGTGGAGGAGAGGAGGGGGGAAGCTGTGAGGCCAGGCGGTCATTCCATACAACCGTGTTTTTCACGTTGTTTCCCCCACGTTCCGTGTCGCCAAAACAGTTTAAAATGTGAGGGAAAACGCTGCCGTAGTTGCGCGGAGCTTCGGAGCGGAGGGGAAAGTGTTTTACTTGAATAAAAACCGAGATGAGCGAATCGTTCCCTGGTCCGGAACGACGTGCGAAATACCGCTGATAGGCTAATTAGCCGTGCTAGCCGCTGGAGGTTGGCCCAGCGCTAGGACACAGAAGTTCAGTTAGCCTGCTAGCCAGCGCTCATCCTCATTGTGTGCGGCCGGAGACCACTTATTAGCCCCCCCGAGCTAGCTACCAACCTGCTCGGGGCGCTTATCGGTCGGCGCACGGCTCTCGGGCAACTTTACGCAGCTTTCGCTTCACTTTTTTGTTTTCATGTGTCGGGGTGAGAAAGAAAAAAACATTCTCTTTACATATTTTCCGCGTTTTGTGTGTGTGTGTGTGTGTGTGGCTTTTGTAACGAGAGCTTGTTTGTAGTGTTGCATTGTATCCGGCGACCGAAGTTTGGCAACCACCAACGGCTACACTTGTTACTCGGTGTGGACGGAGAGAAAAGGCAGCCCCAAAAACACCTGCCGGTTCCCTGATACTTCTCTCTGAGTTAACGCAACACCGTCTTTACATTGAGCAGAAACGGTCGCTCAGTTTTCTTCCCCTACAGTGCGACTTGGTTGCGTGTGTTTTCTTGCGCTATCCTGCCCTCTTTCTCCATTATGCGTTCTGTAATCGGTCAACTTGCATAATGGTCACCCTGCCGCTCTCTCTCACGCAACTCTGGCTGCGCTAAAAAAAAAAAAAAATCTCTGGAAAATAACTAAGCTTTGTCCTCCCAAACACAGAAACACACACATACTTCTCTCTATTCACTCTGTGGTTTTTATTCACTCTGACACATTCAGCGTACATGTGCTGGTTCGTTATTTTTCCTCCTGTTTGCCACAGAGCCAGGAGCTGCTCCCCCCACCACCTTGTGTCTCTGAGCCAAGATGGCAGCTAGTCATGTTTAGCGGGCCACAGAGGGAGAGATAAGAGGCCCCGACCACACACACATGCACACCGAGCACACAACAGATGTTCAGCACTATTTCGTCTCTCTCCCGTTTGTCTTTTCTTGTGGTTAAAGTTGAGGCACTCTTCCCCCCTCTATAGCCACAAGGCTGCCTTGGTTTGTTAAAGAGAGGCAGCTGTTCTTGGATTAAGGTGGAACTTTGAAAAGGTAGATTTTCTCCACGTCTAATCCATGTGTGGTGGCAATTCTGATCATTTTTCTGCATGTTGCCTGTGTTTTTTTAATAGTTTTGTTCAGGCAGATGAGTGGAAGTTTGGTTGTCTGCTTTTTTTTAGAGCGGGAATCAAACTAAAGTGGAGTTTTTTGTCTTAACTTTGGCCGGTGGCCATATTAATTTCCCTAGATGCTGGAAAAAAAATCAATTTATCACAAACTGATTGTTCCTGTAACTGCCTAAAGCAAAAATCTGCTCCCCAGTCTCATTTTTAAAAGCTTTACACTTTTGTTTACCCTTTGTTCTCCCCACCATAGGGCCTAGAAGATGTGGGGTTTGTCACGTTGACATGTTTTTCATCTGGCGGTGTTCCCTTCAATGGCCACAGCCAGGGAAATCCCTTCCACCTTTATACTGAGGCTTATATATGAGGATACACCACATGCAACGAAATGACTCACATCCCATGAAACGCAACATTAAGATAGCCCAGTTAATTGAGATTTCACAGAATGGTGCAATTAAATTTCCAGTGTAATATCCATGCACTGATTTTCATTCTCCACATGTATAACCCCCTCTGTTATGTTATTTCATGTTCCTAATGACCATGAAGCTTTAACCATGCCACTGTATGCTGTGGCTTCATTCATTCGGGCATTTTAGCTTTTGGAAGAATGAAACAGACACTTTGTTTTGAACAGGTGTTCATCAGTTTGTCATGTTTTCGAATAATTTGCTCCCTGTGGTTTTGACCTATGAATCATTAGTGTGGTCGGTGTTGGTTATCTGAACATTTCACTGTTGATGTGCCATCATCTATTGACCTTTTAACCAGCTCTTGCTGTTTTCATACTGTTCAGAACAGGGGAGGTAAGATTCTAAAAGTTTAGGGAAATAAAGCAGAAGAGGAGGCGCCAAAGGCAATATAGTTTTATGTATGAGAGGACAGAAATCAGAAGTAACCCTACTGGTATGCAGAGAACACTAAAACTTGTGCCTGACAACACTGACATTGTTGTTCTCTGCTAGTGAAAATGGCCATTGTTAGCATTGTGATCCTTCCCATCTCACTTTACTCTGCTTGCATGTTATCCATCAATGTCTCTTGCTACTTGCATTTTGTATTCAAATGCTCTCTATGGCCTGACTTTGCTTTTATGACCTAACAAAGTATTTGTTCTCAGTCCAGTCAGCCCTCTAGTTTTGTGGCAGGTCATTTGTTACTTGAGCAACTTATCAGACTATTAGTTTTGGCAATTTGTCTCTCCCTCTTTCCTGTACTATCCCAGTTAGCCGCCTTGGCTGCTATTTGCAGTGCTAATCCTGACCCATCCGGACCCCGGCAGACACACGCTACAGATGTTGTGAGAGAAAATGAACAGAAATCGTGTTGAATCATCCAAATCTGGATAAAATCAGTTCATATTTTCACAAAGCCTCTCATATTAAAAGCTGCTGGGTGTTTAAAGTGGGTTTATCTGGAGAAAAGCTGGGGGCCTGTGGCGGGGGGTGTAGGGGGAAGGGGGGTGCTGAGATTTTTGTACTCTAGAGGCTGAGAGGAAGTTTATATCAAAAGCACATTTTCTCCCGCAGCTACTGTCCTGCGTGATTTTTATGTCGGACTTGATTTATTTGCACACTCTTGGCCCATTTAGGTGTTGAAGTTAACTTACATTTAAATTTCTCATAACATAGGCAGTTCCTTGTCGTGGTCAGCAGCTTTTACATATTGTTAAACTCACTAAGTGTGAAGTCGAGTGACTTATCTAGTTGTATAAAACATGTTGGTCATATGGGGTTTAGTTCTGCGAGTTTTTATGATTAAGCATTGCAGGGGTGATCCCTATGACACCCTGGCTGCTGTGTTTGCTCAGATAATAGCGCTCACTGGAATAACAAGAACAAAAGTAATGCTTCAAACTTAAGTAATTATGTTCTTAGTCAGTATTTCCACAGTATTTATAGGGAGCTGACTTACACATTTCCCCACTATTGAGTGCATAACAGGGGAAATGTCCTGAAACTTGATAAAGAAATATCCACTTTATGCCTCACCTCCAGAGTGACTTAAATCTCCCTTGACACTGTTCTTGATGTTAACAGTAACCTGTGCTCACAGCAAAAGCTTCATGAGCAGCAGCAGCAAGCCCTTTCGGGGGTTTTTGCAAGTTTCTTTTCTCAGAAAAAGCGACAGCACTTTCCCTCAGACCCCGCTGCTTTTACCAACTGACCGGCTTGGAATCCGTTCACAGCCTCCAAGCAAGGTCTGGAGCATGCAGACACTGCTGAGGGGGAGACATGGTGCTTCTTTGTTGCACAAAAACCCTCCTATTTAATATGTTTGGAGTATTTATTTCATGCATTACAGGAGAAGCTGCAGCCCAACACCTATAAAAGCCAACTGAGTATAAGGCTTCTGATACAGGAGTTGATTTCTAAAGACTAATAAATCTGTGCTACTGATCTTGTAATGATTAAAGTTGCAAAAACATGATCTTTATGCTGTAGCTCTGTTGAAAACGCATTGACCAGGTGTTTTGGTTGGCAACTTGTGCTCAATTATCGAGAAACAGCTGCTTGTTTTTGGGAAAGTCTAGAACATAGCTGCTGGAAACTGGTCGGCGAGTGATACAGATTTTTGTTGTGCATACTTTGCAGGAATTGTGATGTATTTATGAGGTCACTGCAGGTTTTGCCGTCTCCCGAAGCCTTCCCAAGCTGCAGTTATTTTTCCTGGTTGAACACGAAGCTTGAAAGCAATCACAAAAACATTCCCTCACTCTCAGCAGGCAGAAACTTGTATTCTGAAGATGGATGACTGTGATTGCCAGGCTTAAAGTGCCGATATTGAGCCGATTGTACAGTTTGTGGGTTAGA